ATGGGTATAATTTTTTTTAAAAGCAAATGACAAGTGTCGGTGAGAATGTGGAGGAATGGGAACCCTCATGCATCGCTGGTGGGAATGTAAAATGATGGACCTGCTGTGGAAAACATTTCTGGTGGTTCCATTGACAGTTAAACATAGAATAACCATATGCGTCAGCAGTCACCTTCCTTGATAAGTACCTAAAAGAACGGAAAGCAGGGACTTGAACAGATAATTCTACATCAATGCTCATAGCAGCATTATTCACAACAGCCAAAAGATGGAAAGAACCCAAATGTCCACTAACAGATAAATGGGTAAAGGAAATGTGGTGTATACATGCAATGGAATATTATTTAGCCTTAAAAAGGGATGGAATCCTGATACATGTTACAACATGGATGAACCTCAAAGACATTAATGCTAAGTAAAATCAGCCAGACACAAAAGGACACATATTGTGTTTGATTTTACTTCTGTGAGGGATCTGGAGCAGTCAAGTTCATAGAAACAGAAGGTAGAGGCTAGGAGCGAGGAGGAGGGAGAGCGGGGATCGATTATTTAATGGGTGCAGAGTGTCTGGCTGGGATGCTGGAAGGATCCTGGAGGTGGGCGGTCGTGATGGTGCCCAGCAACATGCATGTACTTCATGCCTCTGAACTGTGCACTCAAAAGCGGTTAAAATGGCCCATGTTGTGGTGCATATATTTTATCACAATAAAAAAAGAATTAATTCCTCCCTTCCGGGCTTGGTTCAAATGCCAACTTCCTTCTGTTTCATTCTACGCCATGCCCAACCAGACCGCATATGTCCTTCAGGAAGTATTTGTTTCATCCGTCTGAACCAGCAAAGACATTGAGTGTGTGCTTCCTTTCACAGAAACCCCAAGAGAGAAATAATGGAACAGTCATTCATTTATTCATTCAACAGGGACCACGCTGGGTGCCATATTAAGCACCGGACAGAGGATTAACGTGACCCAGTGTAGAGGTCTGTGGGCTGCAGACAGCCTAGAGCACAGAGCAGCTTCGTGTGGCCGAGGATGATGGGGGAGGGGCTGTCCTCCGAGAGGTGGCTTTGGAGCCGGCTGCTCCAGAGTGAGCAGAAATGAAAGAAAGAATAGTTGCGGAGGTGGCTTTGAAAAAACATGCTTGCAAAAGGGAGGCTGGATGGGAGGTCAGGTCTGAACGCTGCTTGCACGGCTTGACCTGCACAACGTGACCTCAGGCAAACTTCATGAGTAAGGTCCCCATGTGAAAAACGAGAGGAAAGAGTAATTGGCTGGCCGCATGGGTCACTGTGAGAATTAAACAGGGTAAAGTTTGTCAAGCAACTGCCTCCTAGTGGGTGTGCCTCCTTGTTGCGGCAGCGGGAGAAACCCCCTGGGGTTGAGGTATCCTCCCTGGGGCTGAGAAGTGGTTTGAAATGACTGGAGACTGAACCCTTGTGGAGTTCACTGCTGTGTGTCCTGACACCTGCACCCACACACCCAGATGGCCCGAGGCACCCCACGCCCCTGAGCTTGGTGGCAACACCCACCACTTGGACAGAGTGTGTGTGCTCCATTGGTTTCAGGACTCTCGGCAGCAAGCAGAGCAGCCCATTTCCGGGGCCTGAGGGTCCGGGTTGGGGTCGGCGTCCCATCAGAAGCTTGAGAACGAGCTAAAAACCAGACCCTCTGATCCTGGAGGCCAGGAACCCAATGACTAAGAATCTGAGTGTGAGCGGCCCTTTGGTGGAAATTGCAAAGCAGTTAAAGACACGGGATTAAACAGCATGCATGTTTTGGGAAGGGGTGGGGGGAGCAGAGCTGAGCTTTTCAGGGGCCAGGGATTCCTCCTGGTGTTTTTAAGTTATGCTTCGGTTTCAGTCTTGGACAGGGCGGCAAAATCCCGTTTTAAATTCACGCTGCCTCCATTTCTGATTGATTTTTGTCTAGAGGCTCTGGGATTTGCCAAATCGCCATCAACATACTGGAGAGGATTTAGGGAGAGGTAATTAAAGGGCTGGAGGCGGTGGGGGAAATGGGAGAGGGACAGGCTCGATAGAGATAGGAGCCTCCCCCCACAGCCTGCAGAGATGGGGCCCAGCTCCAGGGAATGCTTACAGAGATGGCCACCAGAGGACTTGCTAGGGTACAGCCCCGTCCAGCCAGAGCCCCGGGAAAGCCAGATCTGAGCGGTGTGACAAAGCACAGGGTTTGGACTCAGGAAACCTGATTTTTGAGTTCTAGTTCTGCAAGAGATGACTTAGATGGAGATCATTTAATCTTTACCTTTTGCTCTTAGCAACAACCTCAGACCTCAGCCAGAGCCAGCCCTGCCCTTGCCCTTTCTGGAAAGGCCAGCTCAAACAAAGCCCCAGCTGAGTGGGGCTGGACCTTACGAGTAACCTCACCCCGCTGGCCCCTGCTCACTTCCAGAGCTGGGTTCTGGCCAAGAGTGACCAGTCACCAGGCTTGAGGCTACACAATCAGATTCTGAGAATTTGAGAGGAAACTGGAGATGCATTGATAGTCATCTCAGGGACACTAGATTGGAGGGTGGGCACCACGTGGGGCTATGGGCAAGATGAGGAAAGGGAGGGAGGAGGGAAGAGAGAAAAACAAAAACACAGAAAGGCAAGAGCACCTTCTGTGCTGGTCTGGTTTCACTGTCCCTGCTTGTATGAGGTCTCCTCCACACTGTCTCCTGTCCTCTGCTTCCCGAGCTGAAAGCGCTTGTGCAATGCCCTCCACTTTTTCTACTTCTTGAACCCTCACCAGCCCCGCCCACCAGGAAGAGTGGCAGAGGGAATTAAATGAAATAACGTGTGGGGCTCTAACCTGCCTGGAGGTGCCGTGAGCTCTTCCCTTTCTCCCTACAGCACCCTGGCCTGCTGCCACTTCTCTGTGCAACGCAGGGATGTTCATCTCTTCTCTATTTGTTGTCCCCATGGCCCCACCCTTACTCACAGCAGCTGTCCCTTCAGAGCAAGGCCTTGTCCACCTTGCTCGTGCTCTGTGAGCCCTACCTGGTGACACCTGGCGCCTAACAGGGCCTCAAGTAACATCGGAGGACCGACCGAGCAAACGAGCAGACGGGTGGTGGTGATACTCTCCACTCAGTCGCCCTGGAAACTGCAGGGTCAACCCCAGCTCTTCCTTGACCCTCACACTCTGTGCTTGGTCCTCACAGAGCCTCCTTGGCATTGAACTTCCCGCATGTTTCTGCCCTGAGTCCTCTCTTCCTGTCTGCGATGCCACCACCCCAGCGACTTCTCCCCTGGCTGGTGCCACTGCCTCCTCTACTCCGCCCTTCTCTCTGCCTCTTTGGGAGCCCTGAGGCACCTCCTTTTCCAATGCTGCCCAATCCCCTTGGCTTTCAAATCACTGGTGGTGTTCCAGGCTCTTGAGCAGGTCGGTGCCCATCTCTCCAGCCTCACTGCTTCCACTCTCGGCTTCTCCCTTTGGGCTTCAGAAGCACAGAACCATTTGATCCTGAAATGGTTCACCTCCCTGCCCTCGACCCTGCCATCCTTTCCGCTTGGAAGGCTGCACTCACTCCACCGTCCCCATCACTGGGGCTCCCCCAGCCTGGTTCAGGGCCCTCAGCTGAGTTTCCAGACTCCCTTGTGCTCCAGGCCTATCAGAGCACCTCCCTGGCTGTGTTGTTATTTCTCACTTGTCAGTGTGCCCCACTGGGCAGAAACAGGCAGCCTGGCATGTCCTACGAGCACCAGGAGAGTTTGGGAAGCAGCAGACCTGGATTTAGTGTCTGCTCTGTTCTTTTTCAGCTGTGTGACTTTGGGCGAGTTCTTCCACCATACGCTGGAAAGAATAGTCTCCAGATCACAGGAGTCCTGGGAAAATTAAAGGCATTGCACGTACAAACGTTAGCACCGTGCCTGGTTTGTGGGGAGGGCTCCCTGGATGTTAGCTACTAATAATAACAAAGAAAAATATTTCTAAGACTGCTAGGGCAAAGGTCTCCAAACATCAGGGCTAAATCTGCTGTTCCAAGAAGAATTAAGAAGTCTTTTGGAAAACAGCAGCGAGAACAACAACAAATCTCTCTTAACTGTTCCTTCAAGGAAGTTGGGGACGACTTTTTGAAAAACATAGGGTCCTGCACAAACCATGATTGAGGTTTAAAAGTGAAAATTGAAAAGTTTAAAGGAAAATCCTTGTGGGGGCAGATGGGGTGGGGGGAGGACGGGCATGTTGAGACCCTGGAGGGGGCAGACGGCAAAAGACGGACGGAATGTGGCTTTCGGGCAGCGGCGTGGGATGGAGTTAGAGCCACGGCAGAGCTCCCCACGGATTGCCACCCCGCGGGGCGGTCGGGTACTGCGCCGCCCGGGATCCGAAGCTGCCGGACTTGTCCTGGCGGCGCTAGAAATCCTAACCCTTCTCGGGAGAGCCTGGGACGATGGCGCCCGGGGAACCTGGGCATTAAGTAGATGTTTCACCAGTCCTCGTGTGTATGAGGCGGCGCCTGCCCAAAGAGGTTGCAAGAGGATGGGAACGATTCCCAAAGAACTGGGGCAGTTCTTTGCGGGGGCAGGGCTGCGTTGTCCCCACCTTTTCCCCATGCCTCCCCTCGAGGAAGACCAAGGCGAAAAGCGCGCTGGCCCGGGGGTTCAGGCGGGAGGCGCTCTATGCACATCTCCGCCTCCCGGCTCAGCCTCAGTCTCCTCCTCCAGGCAGTGGGTCGGCATCCCGGCAGTTGGAAGAGCAGCTCTAGTAGGCCCGCCGGAGCCGGCCGCTCCCCGGAGCCTCCCCCTAGGGTGTGGGCAGGTCCCGGTCTAGTTTCCTCCCGCCGCCGCAGGAGCTCGAACGTGAAGGCGCTGCCAAGCGGCGGAGGGGGGAGACAGCCCAGGTGCGGAGGGACTTGCGCGTCGAAGGTCCTACCGAGTGGGTCGCAGAGTTCCTCGGTGGGGGTGGCACGCCCGGCGCAGCGGCCGCTCCTGGAGGTCCGGCCGCGAGCGTGACATCACGGGGAGGGGCCAGCGCGGCGCCCCCGGCGCAGAGCTGTGCGCTGAGAGCCCAGCGCCGGAGCCGAGCGGCGAGGAGAGCAAGCCGAGGCCCCGATGGAGCGGTACAAAGGTAAGGGCACGGGTCCCGCACCCCGCACAGCGTCCAGGAGAGTGAGGGATGGCGCGGCCGTCACCGCGTGCGCCTCACGTTCCGCTGGGACTCAGGTGAGCGGAGCCGCCTGTCCTCGCTCAGCCCAGAGCCGGACCAAAGACCAGGGCCACAGCTCCGTCGCGGGTGCGTAAGTGGGCTCCTAGGTGGTGGCTGTGGCCCGGACTCTTTGATCTTCCCAAGGCGCGGAGGGCCGGGTTCGGCGTGGCGGAGCCTCTCACCTGTTGGAGGAGAGAGTGTGCGCTAGGCGACCTACCAGTCCCGCCTCCCCCCCAAACCCGGGCCATCCGGAACGAGGCTGGGGCCCGAGGAGGGCCGGAGTGAGGTCGGAAGCGTGAGGGGCGGCTTCGGGGCAAAGGAGAGAGTTGTTGGATCCTCCCGCTCGAGCGCCAGCGGGAGTGGAAGGCTTCCTGCAGATCCCGGGAAAGAGCCTGCGCGGGGATGCGCTCTGGCGGTGGGGTGGGCGCGCAGCCCCACTCCCACCTACGTCAGGCCGCCCCAGTCGTCCCTCCGCTCCTGTAACCGTCTCCCTCCAAGCTGTTCTCTCCTCCGCCCCACCCCTCCAAGAGGGCAGAGGTGCAGGAATTGGGGGACCCGAACGGCGTGCTCGGCAGGTGGAGCGCGTGGAGGCGTCCCAGGCCCGGCTGAGCCCAGTGAGCAGCTGAGCAAGTTTTAGGTTTGGCCTGGGTGGGGAATCTGGGCCAAACCCCGGTGGGCGGGCCGGCCCGGGTGGTGGCGCTTGCCCAGCTTGCACCCGCACCCGCGCTCGTGCTCGGAGCCCCGGGGCTGGAGTCTGGAAGCCTCGGATGGCGCACCTTTGGGGAAAGGAGTTTCAGGCGCTGCCCCTTAAACGGGACGCTGTGGGCGCCGTCTACCGCCCCCCCCGCCTTTCTTTTAGGAAAGCCTCTTACACTTTCTTGTCGCCGACTCGTCTCTGCCAAACCTGACAGAGGAAATACCGTTACTATATTTATTTTCCCAAGGGAGAGAGTAAGAAAGGCAAATGCTCAGATTCCCAAGGAATCTCACTCGCAGTAGTTTTCTGTTTTCAGAAATTGACAGTAAGGCAACTTGAGGGATTGGCTTTAGTTCCCTAAACTAGCCCTGTCTCTGGATTTTCCCATTGCTTTTTCTCATCTGAGTCACCTGGTTACAGTTGAGGGCGAAAAAACCCAAATTCTAGCCAGGGCTTCAGGTGTAAAGGGTTTTGCCAAGAGCAGGAAAGCCAGCTGGGGTTATAGGGTTAATTAGTTGGCAGCCTTCTGTGTCTTTCTGTGAACCGTCCCGTCCCCGGAGCCTCTCACACCGGTTTCTAAACCGGTGGGGGGTTTTGTTTCAAATTCTGTTGCGATCACGTCAGTTTTGCGCCTGCATCACTGAATGCGCCCTTAAGGAGCCTCAGAGACCGGAGGAAGCTGCAGTCCCTCTCCTTATAAAACGGCAGTTTGCGGCTCCCTCCCGGGGTGGGGCCCCCTTCGCCCTTTGGGAGGGACCCTCACAGGGAATTCAGGACTTGAGTTGCCTTCCCAGTGGGAAGCGTTGGCCCCTGGCGATTCTTCCAGCTCAAGGTCTGCCACGCCTGAATTGTGTCAGCGCCAGGTTAGGTCCAGGTTGCAAGCTACTCTTTCAGATTTTTCTAAGTTAGGGTGAATTCCCAATGCCACTTATTATCATAAGTTTTTTTGTATTAATAGTTTTTGACTTGGCCCTTGACCTGAGAAAGGCTTCTTCCTTATCTTTTCCTCTTGAGAACCTAAAATCCTCCTACCCTGGGGTTAGGGGCGTTTTGCCAACTGAAGGAAACTTCTTTTCCAGTTCAGAGTGTTGATGTTTTTTGTAACACATGTATCTGCCTCATCATTTTGCAATAATTCAGACACAGAGTGATAAGTAGATCTATTTGAGAATTATCTGAATTGCAGAGCCTAACCCAGCTCATCTTTCAGTGTTGGACTCTGGGGAATTGAGTCTCACTCGTGAATGTATGTTTACCATTCACCAGTATGTTTACTCTACCTTTCAGCTGAGGAATTTGGGGGTTCCCCCAACCTCCTTGTAAAATTCCGCGTTCTCTAGAGTAGCAGATGAGTTGTGCTTTGAACACTCACTGAATTAAAATGTTGGTCTGTGCAAAATAAAGCATGTTGGGCCCCATCTTCAACTCATCAGTGCAGCTCTACCGAGAATCTTAGTCTCTTCCTGCTTGTCTGAGATTGAGGCCAGCCCTTTCTCAAGGTAAGCCTGAGTAATTCTGGGATGAGGGTTAGTGGTTTTAACAACAGAGCTAAATGTAAAAAAATAAAAAAAAAAAGCAAGATCTACTCTGGCTCTCAGGCATATGTAAGAAGAATTCTTAATTTTGATAGTATTTTTAAAGTTTGTTATTTAAATGCCTCATTCTGTCTTTCTAAATTCCCAATTTTGAGTTCTTCCCTCTCCCACATAAGTAAAATGACTCATCACCATCTCCAGCTTCTCAAAGTGTTTCCTCTCATTTGTAAATCTTGTCAAGTAGTTGATGTAGGAGAAATTATTTTCCATGTTCCCCAGCATGTTACATAGTGTGCACTCTCCAAAACCAACTATCCTTAGTAAGCTCTGGCTTGATTTTTCCATTGTTTTGTGGGATGTAAAGAGATGTCTGGGGCTAAAGAATACTGGGAATATCACAGTATCTAGTGCAGAAATATTCCACACCTCGTCCCTATTCATTCTGAGCTATTCTACTAGACAGCCATGGCTTCTCAAGGAAAAGGGTGGGGTATCCTCCCAGAGAAATGGTGCTTTTATGAAAGTTGTCATTAAAAGAGATGGAGGAGTTGCTGCATCTTGTATGTGAATTTCTTTGGTGTTGTGTAAGCAGTTCCAAGTTCTACAGGGAGCCTTGGAAAGGGTCCTGTCCTTGATGTTTACATACTGGTGGCTCTTCTAAGGGCATCCTTGCTTGGCTGCCTGAGCCTATTGGCTGAACTTACCATGTGGTCAAGGATTCTGGTTCCTACTGTTCTTCCAGCTGGCGAGTGTGTCTAGGGCCAAAAGCGACTGACTTACTGGGGCTTGTGCTTGGAATGTCCACGCCAAAGCTTCCTGAAATTGCATCACATTTGGATCCTAACAGGCACCGTGGAAATAGCCACTTGAACTTGGATCACTGTGGTTGTGAGTGGAACCATTCTCCTGTGTGGTTTTTGTTTCTGAGTTGGATCACCTGACTCCCAGGAGAGGGAGGGCACTGTGTAGGGTGCTGTGAGGTAGAGGGGAGCTGGGAAGAGGCAAACCAGTAAAAATACTTGAAAGTTTACGTGGGACTCCTGAAATCTGCAGTCAGGAAGAGCTGAAAAGAGAAGCTAATTAAAAGAGATGGGCCAGCTAATCATGTTCATTCTGCCTTCAGAGGAATCCTTGGTTCTGTTCTATTTCCATAGCTAGGAGTCCTGGTTTTTCCCTGTTGAAGTTCCAGTGCTGCTTAACCTGAGCCACACCTGGCGCTCAGCACGGGCCCTGTAAACAACTTGGACCTCTTGGCCGCCTCGGAGACCGTCTGAGTTAATTGGCCTAAGGGTGTGGCTTCAGCATTGTCCTTGGTGAGGGTGTCCAGGTGATTTAAATGTGTAGCCAAAGTTGAGAACCACTGAAAAAAGAGACACATAATTACACAGCTTCGTCACCGAGAAAATGAAAAGCAAGTGGGGAATAAAATGCTCCCCCCCCCCCCCCCCCCCCGCCCCGCAATACTCACATGGTGTGCTTCTACCAAATCTTGTGATACACGCAGAAATTGAATGTAATTCACCTTAAGCTATTACAGGCTTTACAAGGCTGTGGGAACACTGCTTGAAAACAATCTCAAACATAATGCTTCAGAACCCTAAGCTCAGGGTTTGCTCATGGTTGTACTTGACCTTGAGCCCTTCTGACTTTGAAGCTCTTTGTGTGGGAGCCCTTGAAGCTTTGGCAGTGAAATAGCCTGAAACAGAAATATGGAGAGGTCACCTTTGGTGCCAAATGGCCAGGCAGGGTTGGGGGTTCTGCTTTGAGCCCTTCCCCTCCCCTGAAGGGGTAGGAGCACTGGGAACTGGGCTGGTTCCCAGCACAATTAAAGGGCCAGGAGGGGCCAAGGAGCTTCAAAGCTTAAGAAGCTGTGCCAGTTTTCTTCCCAGTCCTTTTAACGGTGGGAAATGTTTCTCTAAAGACTTCTGTCATTCAGAGAAGGGAGACTTTTCCCCAAGCCAAAGGAGAATGGTGCGTCTGCCCGGAGCCCAGGCCGAGCCCGTGGAGGGGCAGGGCGGCAGGGAACGGACACCGTGCACTGAAGAAAGCAGTGGCTTAGGGACTGGGAGACCCACGTGTTCTGTTTCCTTGGGCCAGTCACTGAGCTCTCCAGACCTCAGTTTCCCCACTTAGAAAACAGCCTCCACTGTTTGCCTATTTGACTTTCCGAGCGCTCAAGTGCTGGTTGCTCTGTGGTCGCTGAGGAATCTCTGGAGGGAGGAGGCTGTCTTGAGAAGGAGGGGAAATGAGGGAGGGAATGTGGCTGGCCCAACAGAGGTCAGTTTAGAATGGTGATTCTTATAAATAAAACCAATTTCCTGTTGAGAGCAGAGAGCAGCAGACTTAGTGGGAAAGAGAATGCCACCAGCCCGGTCAGGAATTTGTCTCCCAAGGACTTTTGTATGGAGGTGTCTCCCAAGACAATTTGTGATGCCAGAGCCAGCTTTTGGAACTCCCATTTGAGCGACAGGCCAACGGAGGCCTAAGGGGATGAGGCACGAACTCAGAAAGTCAGAAAGAGAATATACTATCTCTGAACCTTGAGTTTCTAAAGGGCAGAATTCCTAGTAACAGCAGGGTTTATTTAGAAAGAAGTGCTCAGAGCCATTTCAGACCCATTCCTGTTCTCTCCAGTCTTCAGGACCAAGCCCTCATGCCTCCTCTTCCAGGAAGCCTCCCCTGAGTTTTCC